AATGAGTCAACAAAAATGTTCTAATTACTAATCGGTGAAAATAACACTGTTCATTCAAATATTCTACTGACAATGAGTTTTGCATGTAATTAACATAATACTGTTATTTTTTAAAAAATCGATGATTCCTTTACCAATTATATTATCAGTGTTAGTACCTAGTAATATCCAATAACATTTTGTACAAACAAGTACGTAACGATTTTTTCTCTTTTTCTGAGCAGGTGCTGATTTCTCACGACGGAAAACAAACATTTTTCATGGTGATGTTTCCTCCGTTATATCAATTTTATCAGTATGGTAAATATTTTTCAATGTATACATCTTCTCATTTAAAAAATCACTGAAATTAATTAGAAAAGATTAGCTAGATTATGATTTCGATTTTTTTTAGATTTTACCAAGAATGATTTGTTACGATTCTTATTAGCGGGTCATATTACCCTCACTTTTATAAGAGATACGAAAATAACTTATTTTCGTAATATATATTAAATTCAATTAAAATTTCCTTTCCTTTCACCTTTCGTCACAGATAACCTTATTAGTGTACCTACATTCTTAAAATTTTAACCAATTTACCTTATAGATTAAATTTTATAAAGAACATTTCGATGATGAATATTCTACTATGGTATCAAACATTCTGAGCGTTTCGATAATGAACGTTCTACTATGATATCAAACGTTCTTAGCATTACGATAACGAATATTCTACTATATCAGACGTTCTTAACATTTCGATAACAAATATACTACTATAATATCAAATGTTCGCAACATTTCGATGATGAATATTCTACTATGATATCAGACATTCTTAACATTTCGATAATGAATATTCTACCATGATATCAGACGTTCTGAGCGTTTCGATAATGAACGTTCTACTATGATATCAAACGTTCTTGAGAACTCGGTTATAATAAATGCAAGGACACGGGATATGCATAACGACCTCATCCGAAGTCACGGTCGTCGCGGTGCAATTCTTATAAATATCATCTGGAAAAGGTCAGGCTTCGGGTGAATCAAACACTTGTGAAACGTTTTCGCGGTGCTCGACAATGCCGTGGACAGTGGGTGTGAAGGTAGAAAGTGAAGGTATTCTTCGACCATAATCTGCCCCCACGAACCATTACACGGGGATAAACCGCTTACATCATAACCAGACCATCATTATGCCTCCCTATTACTCATTTCGCTTCTTGCGCTTTCGTGATGCATATTCATGATCGACCTTTTACAGTACGCATACGTACGTTTTGTTTTCTGCTCGATTTCAAGGTTTCACGAAAGGAAATGAAATCGCGACTTCACGCTGTATTGAAGATCTCGCATGACACCGAATGTAATCGGGATTCATTTTTTAATATGGGGGGAGGGTAAAGCAGAACACCAATGTTCTTTCTAGATAAGAACGTTTCGTGTTGACCTGGTCTTGCAGGACATAGACCTAATAATAAGTCCTTAATATGGTTTGTGATCGACTGTAGATCAATGCACAAGTATTATCTACGAAAAACATTGGTGATTCGGTTTACTCTATTATTGGCGTAGTACCGCGTTGCCAGTATTCTTCTAGAAAATGTAAAATGACGTAATACTACGTTACCAGCATTCTTTTAGAAAATAAAAAATGACATGGTACTGCGTTACTAATATTCTTCCAAAGAAATTAAAAATGACATAATACCATAGTACCAATATTCTTCCAAAAATTAAAAACAACGCAGTGCCACGTACCAACATTCTTCCAAAAAAATTAAAAATAACATAATCCTACATTAGTAATACTCTTCTAGAAAATGTAAAATAACATAGTATTAGGTAGCTAGCATTCTTCCAAAGAATTTCAACTGACATAGAACCGCGTTACCAATCTCAAATTAATATATCATTATACATCATACCTATTATGCTATATAATATATCGAGTTAATTACTCTCTCAAAACCGTCGAATACCCACACCTTCCCCGACGATAATAAATCCCGTACAATTCATCACGAGAAAGGTTAAACTAAATATTACAAATTGCAAAATCGTAAATGTTTCAAGATCCTCTCCCTGCTCGGCAAATGCGTTTATAAAGGCGACGGAATAAGCGACGCTCAACGCGTATATCAAATATTTATTGGCTGCTTCGATAAACAGTTTTTGTAACACATCGATTTTTACGGAGCCCGTTCCGCGTAATTCATTTCTTAAGAGAATTCCGCGACCGTAAACCACCCCACGATCGATAACTCTGGAAAGTACGGCGAAATGACTTTTTCAGGGAACGCGCGTTTACGAGCCGCGCGGCTGTACATTTTGAATGAAAATGTAACGCTCGAAAGCGTTGAAATATGGACCAGGAAAACACGGTTCCGTGATCATAAGTCAGAAATCGATGCCGATACACGCCGCGGCGCGGCGCGGCGCGGCGAGGCGCTCCGCCGCTGAATCGTAATTACGGCGAATGCAAATTACCACAGGGCCCACCGACATGAACTGGTTCAACGTGTCATTATTGTTTATTAGCGCGAACGCTTGCTGCTTTTATCGGCCGCGAGATGCAACGTCATATTAAAAATAACCATCGGACCATATATGTACCCGTCCCGGACAATAATCCCACGCTCTAGCTTTACGCGGTTTTCTTTCCAAGCGATAACTGTTAGAAAATTGCTATCGACCGCGTGCGTGATTGTATGTGCCTCGCGTGCACGTATACGAAAAGACGCTAGTGCCTATGGAAATTTATTCAAGCAACCGATTTGATTCGCGAGTGTTCTGCAATCGTTAACGCAACCTGAATATAAACAGTATTAGTTTAACGCTATAGTCTCTGATGACAAAATTAGGGCCATCATGATTTTTAACGGTTTAAGCAGTAATCGTTGCTTTGGAAGGCTAAAAGGTAATTTAGTGATAATTTCTTCGTTGTCGGGTTAATGTTTTGTATTCCAGAAATTTTCCACTGGATATGCTCAATATTTTCTAATGAGATACAGATGATATTTTGTGAAACTGATTTAACGAGAAATTGCATACAAATTGAGGGATGAAAGTATTTTATTTCTATATTTTAGGTATGCATTAAACAAGATTTAATATTAAATAGTAAATATTAAATATTAAACTTTACCTCTGCGGTACAAAGGATTAAGAACAAGAGTTAAGCGAAGAAATCAAGCCTGAGGTATAAAAAGTTAATATAAGGAAACTGCAAGATAGGACTAGATTGCTGATTCATTGCTGATCTTCTCAAAGATGGCAGTAATGATGGCATTAATTTTTTGATTAGGGACTGTAAAACTACCAGATGAATCAAAATGATTCATTTTTGATTTGTTCTTTTACAATTATTGAAAAAATACAAATACTACTCGAAGAAATGATCAAGTAACTTGATTTAGTACCATACAAATTGAGATACGCGTCAATTGAAACCTTAATAAATGGACTCTTATAGCTTTTATAAAAAAAATAACAAAAGGTCTGTTTAACTCTCGGTAAGATTTTGTTTGGGGAATAATTAAATTGATTAAACTTTAATATTTAAAATCACTGATAATTGTTAGTTTTAGTGTTAAACAGTACACACACCTTGGCACTGGTCGGATTTTTATTTGTGAATTATTCTCATCATAAGAATGAAATAAAAATTGTTTGTATATGAATACATGAATTTTGTTGTATATGACAATTAAATGTCCTATTTGAAAAATGAAATTTTTTAATATATATGTAAATACATACTTGTATGCACGAAAATCGTACAGTCGTTAATAACCGTACGTATCGAATAATAGATAATTACGATTATTAAAGAAACTTTATTTACCATTTTATTATTTTGTAAGATAACGATGATTATTTTAAATAATTTGTGAATAACGAGAATTTGATGTCATTATTTTTTTAACGAAATCGTTTGAACACATTAAATTTTGTTTCCAATGCATTTTTAAAATGTTGTTTATTTGTAGTATTATGTAGCCTAATCTTTTACAGGTGTTATCTTTTTACAGTTCAATTCCACGTGCGTTCAACCACATAGATATCTGGTTACTGTACTAGTGTTTCTATTTCTTTCAACCTATTTATTAAATAGAAAATTTATTTCTGATCATTGCTGACATACAAATTACAATTATTTATAAGTACCATTTTCTTCAATATTTTTTCCACATTATTTTTCGTAATGTGGCTAAAGTAATCTCATTTGTCTGTTTTTTAAGTTAATATCTGGAATCATTGACCGTTCATTATTAACGAATCAAAATTAGTATTATCTATTTCGTCATTTCGTTTTCTTCGTAATGACTTTATCGTCGGATGTGGAGTCATAGAATTTTGTTTCATCGATAAAAATATTATAAAACCTCGGTTATATAAATACTTGTTAGGTGAACAAATTATTATGAAAACTGCGTATTTTGTACTACAATACATACATATTATAACAAAGTATGTACACAAATACGTACATAATTTTTTATTTTTCTTATTCGTGAAAGATCCATTAAACAGTGAACGATTTTAACAAAAATTATTTTCACCTCATTAAAATGATATTTGGTATACATATATAAAAACGATTATATACTTCTGTAGGATGAAATCTCTTCAAATTCAATATGCGATCCGTCTGTTATGATTGTTCCCCCACAAGAATTTTCAAATTCTTAACAATCATTTTTTTGCATTTATCTTCCCTATTTTAGCCATTCATTTTACTGCAGTAATATAAGAATTATTTCATACTTTCTACATTATCCAATATTCTATGTCATATGCGATAACACTCTGCGTAAAACTTAATAATAAATTTTATTGCACTTTTTCTTCAACTATCCATATTTCTACTTTTACTTCCGCTGCCCATAGTTATACTTTTACTATCCTCCTATGAACTCTATAGTGATGGAGAACTAATTCACATTTTCCGATATCACTGCACCTTATTTTAGTATCCTAACTTTAAGAATAGTATACTATATAATACTTACAATACGATACACTGTAAAATAAAGGATGATTAATTACTAAATTTAAGAAAATCAAGTTATTTGACTTATTATATAATATTTTTACCAACCTGCAACATATGTAGTGACTTATTCCAGTGCACTGTTTCCAAATATGTTTTCCAAAAAAGTTTAGTTTGTAATTCTTGTATTATTCAATAAGAATACATTTTAAACGATGTCAAATGTATCTCAGGAATAGCTGCCATTAACACTAACCGCAACAATGTTCTCTCAACGGTTGTACATTGTCACCAATAGGTCAATGTATTTATATACTTCTTATCGTTACACATAGTTGATAATGCATTCAGGTCGGAGAATATATTTGTTTGCATTGAAAGTTAGGTTTGATCAATGTTATTATCGATTCGGAGTTTTTTTTAAACAGTCTTTGAAACTCTTTTAAATGATTGTATTGAATAAATATTTTTTATATACTTATATGTATCTTTGAAGTCACCAAAATATTTTTAGAATGCTAAATCATTTTTCTCTTTTCGTCAAAATTGTATCGATGATTCTTTTTATATTTACAGTATATCTGTTATGATTTTATTTGTTATATTCTTGGCTACAGTTGAAACCAGATTCTTCTAATAAAAAACGAAAATATTTCAATTAAAAAGAATTAAAAAGAAGTTAAGTGCTTCCTTTCCTCAGTGTGAATATTTAGAAAAGCTCAATGTCAATAAATTTCTGTGTTTATATGTTTTTTGCATTGATCCAACAATTCATTAGGTATTAACCCTCCATAAATTGATTTAAAGATTTTGAGTACCTTAGTATTTCGTGTTGTCTTTCTATTTATAAAGTATCAATTTAAAAAAAGCTTAAAATGTGTTGTGACAATTTACTACAAACACCGTGTCATAATAAATTTGTATTGCCCACATGTGAAATTTTTAAAATTCATGCACAAAGTTTAGATTTTCAAAAATCTGTGTCATAAATGACTTCATTCAATCTCCTATAACTTTCATAATTTTGCACATAATATAAAATCATTTTCAACATACATTTTTAACAAGTGTGGAGATTAAAAAAATATTTAAAAATCATCTTCTGACCCAGAAAACTCTCATAACAATATCATCAAACTACAATGCGTTTTAACAGGGAAGTTTCATTTCTTCTAACGAAAAATATAAATTCTTTAGTATTTTTCGTAGAAAAAAGTACGAATGAAACATTATGAAAAAAGTGTGAGTAGCATTTTAAATCTTTGTACTCAAGAATCGTCACTCAATCGTAGCTGAGTTATATACAACAAAATTATAAAATTTAATATTTAATATTACGCTTTGTATAATGCATCCACATTTGAAACATTGAAATAAAATAGCTTCGTTCCTTGATCTATGTGTAATGTCTCGTTCAATTAGTTTCAAAAAATCTCGTCTAAACCAAATAAAAACATATTAAATATTTCTACTGAAGAACTTTTAAATGCGAGGCAGTAATGTATGTACTATAGAATCTGTATTTCTCATTAACTAGTTAATTGCGTCTAACGAGTACACGCTTCATTTTTTTATTTCGTTACAAGCAAAATGAGAGATTGTTGGAACTAAATTCCACACTTAACAGATTATATTCCTCTAAAATAATTCCAAAAAATTAACGAAAAACAGTAAAATCGTGTCAGAAACTTCAACCGAAACACATTCACACCATTCTCTCCCAAAAAAATCCCCAACAATCCCTTTTTTCCATAAAAAAAAATCAAGCTTATAATTCAAGAAATGGATATCGATAAAACATCTATCACAGACTTTAATGAAACTACACCAAACACCGTCAAACATCCCCAAACACATAAACTTCTCCGCTAAAAGCCGCATAATTTCTGTAGCTGTCCCCGAGATCTCCGTTCCATTCGCTGATCGTGAGTTCCTGTGGCGCTGGCGCAAATCAGGACGAAAAGAAAGGTGAGATCGGGAGTCAACAGCTTGTAACCGCGGGAATTAACGCGCTCAAGCGCCGCGGCGTGCCGGGTGAGCGCGACACGCGAGTTGTCTGTTCTCAAGAATCCCCATTGATATGCAAACTCAGCCACGGCGGCGTGGCGCGCGCTAGATAAGCGTGTTATCACGCCGGTGTCTACCTACACTCGGCCGAGTCTGGGCGTCCGGCTCGAGCAACACCGTGCAGCGCCTAGAGCCTGACGATTACGTTAATTACGTACTGTAATTTACGATCGGCCTGCTACATTGGATCGAATCGTTCCTTTTTATTAGCTCCCTTTCTTCTTCTCTCTCTTTCTGCCTGCGTTTCGAGACAGAAGATCCTGATTCCCATAGGATCGATCATTGTCTAGTTGACCGAGGCAGCAAACCGGCTCGTTCCGCGAACACGCCGTGCACCGTGAAGTTTCTACGCCGCGGACGTAATTTTCGCGCGGCGAACAAAAGGGAACGGAAATAGGAAACATAATCCACCGGTAATTACTGTAACGGCACTTTCTCGGCCGGCTGTCTCGCCGCTCCGCGCGGCGAGCGCGCCGTTCCCCGCGAATCTTCTTCCTTTTTCGCGGATAGAAATTCGAGCCGACCAACAAGAAAATCGACCGTGGAAAACGAGGACGCGAAAAATCGCGAATGCAGCACTGGCGGGCGCGTTCCGGTTTGCAACTGAGGAACGAAGACTACGGTTAACACGTTGATTGCTACGAGAAACACTTTTATGTATCATATTCTTTTCGCAACAAAGACAAAAAGGAAGAATTATACTGATCAACGTAACGTTTATTACAGGTTTAATGGGTGATATTAATAGTATTTCTCATGCTGAATTAGAATGTGCAATCCGTTTACCTCCATCACGCAGTTTTTGAGACAATCAATTTTGAAAGAAAACTCAAGTTTTCAGTCTTGAACATTTGCTGTGCCTTGATTATGATAGTTTTCCAAACTTTCCTTGCACAGTATTATTGCGGGCCTTCCTGGATATAAAAATGTAAATTTTAATAAGTTTATAAGCATTGAATTATGTTTCAACAATGCTGAAAGACAAATGGCAGCTGAAACGCGCCGATTTTTGCGGATATTTTTCAATTTATCTGAAAAATTAAGTATCTTGGAGAAAATGCATATTTGAATTCAACATAAGAAATACTACAGATTAAGATCATCCATGAAACCTTCTGTAACAAAAAGAATGAAGTTTTGTATACCAGTGTTGTTTATGATTTGGTATCACAAATCTTACGTTACATTTTTATCTAGTTATTTACGCTACTGAATATTTGTATCTGATATTAGTTATTTTACAAGCTATAATTATTATATTGTAATTTTGAAGCTATGGTCGTCGGTAACCGTGGCAGTCAACGTGTTAATCCCTCCTCATATAATAAGGTAGTCAGATCCGTGATGAATATTTTTAAGCAAATTTGGTAGATCTAAATGTTTTTTACTTCTTTTTTATATAAGTGAAATAATGGCTATTGTCTTTAACTTTAAAAGTAAACGTAGATACGGAGTAAGCATCAAAATGTACTTTCCTGCTAAATTTTTAACACGTTGAATACCATGGAGCCACCAGTGACCCAAATTCGAATTATAATAGATCATTCAATTAAACGATGATTACTTGAAAACATATCTATACTATAAATAATGCTAATGCGATGATATTCAGCTAGATGAACTTGCAATAATAATAATGCAATTCAATCAAATGATTTAACTCTTCGAGAGCTAAAGAGCGATATATCACTCCTTCATGCACTTGCGAAAACTATATATTTAATGTTATTAGTAGTAAAGGAAATCTAACATGTTTTTAATATTGTGTAAAAATTTTATAAACTTTAGATCACAACTGACCGAAACATAAATTATTGTTTTTAATCATGCATGTTTGTTTAAAATTGTCTGGCATTTCTCGAATATGTATGAAAATTTCCCTTGGCACTCAAATGATTTAATATTATATTTTGTCCATTTTGTGTATTTTCAACGTGCTAACGATAAAGTAATCCTATCAAGCACAACTGTGAAATAAAAAGTAGGATAAGAGGTTAACGCGTTAAGTACTTTCTGAGTTTATTCGTTCGTTTTCCTTAGAATTATTTGTTTCCATTCTTTCTTATTTCTTACTTAACACTGATCGTACCGGTACTTTGTATACACCTATTTTTAGAGTAGCCAGTCGAGTTTACAAAATCCTAGTTACAGAATAAAAGTAAACTAGTTGGATAATCGATTTTTTTTTTAGTGGAAACGGAAATAGGGGGAAAGGACAAAGATTGAAAAAATGATTAATCGAACAATACAGAAATTGATATATAGTTGAATGAGAAAAATAAAATGCAGAATTTTAAATCAAATTTTATAACCGATTATCTAACCAGTCGCGGTGCATTTAGTGTTAAAAATGTTAAAATGTAGCGATCGCATCGTGTAGAATTTCTTATGTGAAAATATAAAAGCGTAATTCAATTTTCGAGATGAAATAAAAGAATCGAAATTTTTACAAAGACCTGTGGCACTTAATGGGTTAACGCGTTGACTGCCACGGTGGTCCGATGATCGAAGCTTCTGAATTGCTTGAGAACAATAGCAATAACAAAACTAATGTCGAATAAATATATTTAGTAACGTATCACTTTATTTACCGTTTCTAATTGAGGTCACCATTTACTAGTTGACAATATAGTTTTCGCTAAGGAGTGTTTGCTTTTATTTACAAAGCTCTGTAACTTTAACATCGAAGTGTAAGCGAATCTCGGTATGTCATTTTCATTTTTTTCGTTTTAAAGCAGAGTAATTTTAAACGATACATTTTTAAGCATTTGTAAACGTTATACTCATCGTTGAATTCGTTTTGAAAAATATAATAAACCGGTAGTAATGAAAATACATAGTTCCATTTAAAGACTGCATTAACGTTGAAATCTCTTTAAATAATAAAATGTAAAAAAAATCGAAAAAGCTTACAAAATGTCTCTCATTATGCCGACCAACTCTTATCTGAAACATTTTCTCGTATCTTCAATAATTACGGTAATATTCGAGTGTATACGAATGAAACGGACGTGCTGTATAATTAGTATCAATAACTGCTGCAGCTGTATGTATGCAAATTTCTTATCAAATCTTTTAAAAAGATACAGGATAGTATAATATTTTACTATATTGTAGGATACTTTGGTTTTTATTGCATACATACGATGTCTATAAATACATAAGGAATCACATTATGTCTAATTAATTAGTAAACTGAACGACGAACTAAGTGATACCATTTTTAAACCCGTTAATTAACAACCGGGAGCCCCAGGGAAATTTAAATGACTCATCGGTAGTTTTTTGTTTTACAATTAATTCAATTATACAAATGCTTTGGTTGAGATTTATTAAACATGTTTATTTATGTATACCTACATTATCATATGATAAAAGAAGCATAACAAAAAAATGTACTTTTGTCATTTTTATTGAAGGGTATAAACAAGACAGTTTTAATGTTTGATACTTTTTTTGTTAATTACTTCAACGTTTATGTCGAGTATACTTGTCATGAAAAAATCTAAATTTTTAATTAATGATTGTATTCGTCATGAAGAAAAAAATCATTTTTTCTATTTAAAGTAAAGTTTAAGTAAACCAAGAAAGATGTTTTTATGATCATTTTTTCTATTTAAAGTAAAGTTTAAGTAAACCAAGAAAGATGTTCATAATTTTAATATAATTTAAAGTAATTATGAACTAAATATTAATAATTAATAACATTAATAATCAACAAAACAATGAGGTAGAATTTGAATATAGAATGACAGATTTA